AATTAGGGTCTTTAATTCAAGTCCGTTAGCGTCACTCTAAAATTGTTAAATACAATCATAGAATTAGTCACAGTAACAACAGTACCACCATATGACTGGAAAGCACAGAACTTAAACCCAACTATGATTGGCCAGGGTTGAAAACATAACAAGACCCTGGATCACCTGACTTAACGAAGTATTTTAAAACCAACCATGATTGACCAATGGCCAAACACTGCATCAAGTTAAAATAGAATGACTTTTGCTGTCCATGTATTTGGAATGTTAACTCACCACAATACCAGCTGCTACTACACAGAAACAGTCCAAATGAATCTCTTCATCTTGAGTATGTTCCTCATCAAATCTGTAACAATCACAATAAGTTGTTTGTATAAAAGTAATGATCACAACTTAGCTTCAATGAATACATTGGTATGAGACTTGGCGAAAATTTAAGTCATGATTTTGAGGTTCATACACAACTGTTTGACAGATCACAGCTATGTTGTATATCTCTCATGTTTACACTTGTAGAAAGTTTTTGAATTCATTATGTAAAATTACAGTAATTTTAGTTAACTAGTTTGTCCATCATGTCAGTTATTTTTTAAACTTACTTGTTAAAATCCACATATGGTTTGAAGTAATTGACTAATGTCTGCATCTTGTCCCTAGCTCCATACGTCAGATATGGTATCAAACGCATTAATCCTTGAAGTACGCTGGTGTTTGATCTCACAAACGGGCTGTTAATTCTCTCCAATAACATCACCAATTGGGCACGATCACCAAAAAGTAGCATAGAGGTCTGAAAACAAAATATTCACAAATAAAACTTATAAACTCGGAAAGATGTCAGATACTTACTCAATCGTTGTGATGTCATTGATGATGTCATACTAATGGGTCAAATTCTCATGACCTCATACATCCAAGAATTAACAGATATAAACTTTAGTAACTGGTAGTAAGTACATGTAATGTTAATGTGCCAATAAAAAATGTTGTGGTATCATAGAAATAACGCAATCTTATGGAATACTCACATCTTGCTGGTTAGCCTCTTGTGAGATGATTTCCATTATTTCCATCAACTGTTCGGCTAATTGTGCCACGCCACTACCGCCACCTTGTTCACTTTCACATGCTATTAGAATCTGAAATTGTATGGGTATGTCAACTTTATAATACAGAATAACAAAACCATTGTATTCTAATCAGACTGTAGAAGACCATACTGTGCCAGTCTGAGCCAGTCTGCACCACACAGACAGACATGACAGTGGTCATGTGGGTTTTATTTTGTGCAAGGTTAAATAAACTCACCATATTGAGCGTTGATAGCATTATATTAATGGTATTTAAACCAGGCTCAATCAAGTACTTTCTGTTCACATTCACCCTAACACAGAAACCAAATAACTTTAGTAGTACAGTCAGTAACTGTTTGCCACGAACTAAATCTTTTATAACAGCCAATCTGGGGAAAAAACATCAATTTATTAGGTTAGTAATTTGGTAAAAAAAAAAAATCAACAGAAATGAACATGGGATTTGGTTCAACAGTGGAACACTGACTTAACAGGACAATTCATTTCAATAATCAAATCCAATTTCCGGTAAATATTTTTTTATTTTTGTAAATTTGAAAAAAAACATTCTGAAACATTTTTTGTACCATGAAGCAGAGAGGTGATTTTTGCATGTGTTGATGTAAGAAATTTGTATTTGATTTTAATTCATTCTGAGTAGGTTATGTTTTGCCAATATTTGTTGGTTGGTCTCTGTCTGTCTACCTGTGAGCAGGGTAACTCAAAACGCTATAAAATGAATTTTCATGATATTTCTAGGAGGGGCTGCCCTTGAGACAATAACCAATCAATTAGATTCTAAAGATAAGTACTTTGCAGCTGTAGCGGAGGTTTGTGTTTTTAATTATTTTTTAAAACCACACAGGTAGGCAGGAGGAAACAAGAAACAGGGAATTATATTGTTTAATAAAGAAATACAATTTGATGAGATCTTCAGACATACAATAGAAGGTCAAGCAAAATAAATTGAATAGAAAACATTCACTACCTTTGTAGCATCACTTCCAGACCTCCACACTCTGCCATCACTGAAGACATCTTGTAAACAGCCTCATTGTCTACTTCTTCATCTCCTGAAAAAACAAACAATTGTTTAATAAAATTCTGTTGAGAAAAATAAAATCACATGATCAAATAAAATTATATGATTGGTTAATCAAGAGCATTTAATACTAGCTGATTGGTTGACACAAATATCACATGACTAAAGTTTTCTTTGAATGTACATGATATAAACTCACCTTTGGTGTTATCTAATGAATCTACAATATCTTCTGTAGCATCGCCTAGCAACCCTCTCATCCTGTAAACTATACGCATTGGTTCACCCTAAACAAAAACCAAAAACAAGAATTATTAAATCTGTCAACGGTTTAGAGAACTAACATTAAACTATCAACATTAAGCAAAGATGAAACAGATAATCGGTTCATGACAGACACATCACGACGGTGTTTATCATACTTGACTCTCACCTCATTTTCTTGACACCATATTTTCTTGTACACTTCCTTTACTGGTAAATCCAGACTGATAATTTTATTCTGTACAAGCAGCTGTATTTGGAAAAAAAAAAGAAGTTTTTAAAACTTTTCAACAAATCTGCAGTGCAAACCATGGTTGGTTAAACACATTCATTGGTAACTATGGCATTGTGTGATGCACATGTGGCACAATATACAATTTGTATATATATGGCAGAGATGGCAGAGAACAGTTCTTACCTCCATTCCATTATCATCTTCCAACAATGCAATTAACTCACAATCTGTAGGAGGTCAAAAATGAGGTAAATATATGATTAAAAGTAGTGCAACATTTCTAGTATTTGCAGTGAGTAAATTATACAGTTAATCAACACAACACATATAAATGAAAGGAGAGATCAAACAAGCAAGAAATTCCTCAAATACAGAATTTTTTTGAAGATGAGAAAAACATGCACCGATACCGACTTGTGATCTGCATGTTCACTGGTGGTCCTCAAACTGCAGATCCGAAAAATGTATGTTCATACCTTGTTAATACATGTAGCACACCACCTGAGTTATCATGATTTTAAAGAGAAGCCTTGTCTCACCTTGACATATTTTATTCTTGACATCTCTCATGAGTGGTCCAAGTCTGGGTTCATTAGAGCTGTATGGATTGCCCTGCATACGACCTTGTAAGAAATCTTCCTGTTGCGGATCCTTTTCTAGTGTCATGAAGAATTCACCAACATCATTCTCTTCCTACAATGGGAACAAAATACAGGTCAAAAAAGGATTTCTAAGATTAGGGTTTTGCAAGCGTTTTGATATGTGATTCACCACGTAAATTGTGAGACAAACGTACATTTCTAGAAATATTAAAACAAATGACTGAATCTGTGAAAGAAATGGTTATTAATGTTCATCAGACTGATTTATATACAAAGCGTGTATTTTCCATTTTACACTATGTTGATAATCTTGCTCATTTCTGTAAATGTAAATTCCCTGGCTTCCACGCTATTGGTTTAAAATTTATTTGATGTACACATGGATCTTGTGAGACTATATATGAGCTGAGTCAATTGTATAAATAACTTTAGATCACAAAGGCTGAAGTCAGTCATGTTGGGGGAGGGGGGTCCCCAAGGTTATTCTATCATCAAATAGGCTGTTTGTGATATTATATGTTTATACTAGCCAGAGTGTAAATATCTGATAATATCTGATTGCCCAATGGTCAGCACTAGCTCACAATCTGCGATGACAATGTTACCCATAAGTTTTATTAACAGTACAACATACGACAGCAGCGAACAATGCTTTTTTTTCCTCAGAGTACAATTGATCGGTTCTTGCCAACTAATCACAGTGCATGCGTACAAAATGAGACAAGTGTGACAGTCTTATTTCAGTTTGAATTATAATTATTATGCAAAACTTTAAAATCTGGTAGTGACATAAGACAGCATGGATTACTATGCATACAGACTGTGTTATGATAAATTATTGTGACATCAGGGTTTACTTACTGGATATATGATACTGCATAGTCTTTCAAAGATGAACACTGGTGTCCTGAAATCATCCACGCCGTACCTTTGTACTGTATCCACACACACAGACATGAATGCTCTCGTCTCAGATTCGGTACCTAAATCATAAACGGAATATGAGGTTATTACGAGGTATCCTTGTAATAACCTTATTATTATACATCTTTTCCTTTCAAGGATACATGGGAATACCAAAAAACAAAAAGTTTAGAATAGATTTAGCGAACTTCTTTGTGTGGAGTCTGGTCAAACCCTGGGGTTGCCATGTTTGTTTTTATTATCAGAGGAACCTCACGCGCATAATCATTCCATATTTGGAATTCGCATTACACCAATCATTTCTTTCACAGACTCACTTATTAATATTTGTCTTTAAAGAAATGTACATTGTGATCATGCAAAGAAACTTATTTTTATTTTTATCACCTCTGCCAATATTTGTTAGTATTTTGCTGGCGTTGGTTGATTAGTTTGTTTGTCTGAGAGCAGGGTTCTTCAAAAATCATTAATGAATTTGAAAGAAATCAACATCCGGTTTTCATAGAGACAGAAATTTGTGTAACTTCAGATAGGATGTTAACACATATCACACAGGTTGTATAATATGTAATGTACCATTATACCGAAAACAAGAGAATTTTTACCCAGCCGTAAAACTGTGTAAGGACGCGTTCAAAAGTGTTATGGCAGTGTTCAAATGTTGATAGAATCCCTTCACTAAATACAAATGGTTGCACAAGGCAAAAAAAGTTTTTGTTGTCTCTTTGAGCTGTTATGTCACATTCAATTATTATTACATGCAGCTGAAAAAGTATTATAGACAGAACAATAATGCATCAAGCTCTGCTACGCGTCGATCGATGTGATCACAGTACGGTTTTCATGCATACATAGCTGTATTATTGTAATAACCTCATATTACTGCTAACTTAAATGTATGAATGAAATAACTAAAGACATACCTGTAGTCATTTCTTCCAGGAGTTCAAGCAACATGTCCTGTGTCTCGTCAACCAGCTTGGTTCGCTGTACAACTAGTTTTCTCAATGACAGATAACCATTGAGTACAGTACCAACCAGTTTACCTTTGTAGTGTTGTTTGATTGTATCCAGTTCCACAAATGATGATAGTAATTCTGCAATATCAAAGCATCATTATACAGTCTTATATTACTGCATGATACAGTATGTTGTTTATAACAGGAGGACAGTTCCAATGTCTTGGTAGATAATTTTGTATAGTTTGTTTCAAAATAGAAGTTATAAAAAAAACAGATGCGAATTCGTACACTCTGCATGTACTATTTAGATTCACACAGGGTGTGAAAGCAGACACTTGAGTAGGAAACAAGAAAGAGATAGATTGGCAGCAGAATTTCAGTTTTTAGGACTTCCTAATAAGTTGTTATATTTAGTGAATAAAGCATGATGCCTTAGTCATTATTGAGTGTAACAGAGCAAAGTATGTCTGCAAAAAAAATACAAGGTGCAAAAATGCATTTGGAAAATGATACTGTGCTAAACAGGAAGGACCTTTGTGTTTCATAAACCAATCATCAATTTACATTAATTAATAAAGATAGAAAAATATATTGTTTTGAGTAGTGCGAATAATAAAATTACATTTTCTATATTTATAGTGTATTTATAGTACATTTCCAACAGAGGCACACATAAACCAGCAAATAGTATTTGTTGTACACTGACACACCTTATTTTGACACCACATTAACACCATAAAGTAAATATGATACATAGAATACCGTACCTGTTAACATCTTAAGGGCATATCCTTGAGATAAATCTGAACTTAATGTGGTTTCCTCAAGCACAGTCAGGTGATCAATTTCCTAGCAATAAAAAAACCATTTAATATTAGATGGATCTATTTTGATTGAGTCAACAGACGCCTAAATGTATTAAACAGCTAGTTATATCATACCTACCCGATACTTAAACTCAAAAAGGAAGCCCTTTGACTGAGATAGCTTCACTGTTATTACCGGTAGCAATGCACATTTCAATTGAGAATTGAAGATATCGTTGTGAAATGAACAAATGAGAGGTTCACCTGAGGTACATACCGTATATGTATAATATCAAAACAATTGGACTTGCTATTTTTAACAAGAAGTCGAAAATATCATTTTTTACCAAAAATATTCATCTAAATTAGAAAATTGAAGATGTCATCATGAAATGCACAAATCTGAGAGAGGAACACCTGAGGTACCTATATGTATAATATCAAAACAAATGGACTTGCTGTTTTCAACAAAAAGTCAAAAAAACATTTTACCAAAAATGACAAAAATATTTATCAAAATCAATTAAAGATATCATGACATTAACAAATCAGAGAGAGGTCTACCCAAGAAACATATACATCAAGTATCAAAGCATTCAGGCTTGTAGTTTTTAAGAAGAAGACAAAAAAGTAAAAAAGTTGACACAGATGTTAATAAAAACTAAAATTAAAACCATATATAAAAATCATGCACAATATGTTTCTGTGTCAGGTTGTAAATTAAAACAGTGCATGCTAAAATTGTGTGTAAACAAACCCTCCATCTCACATAGAAACCATATCAAGAATGACCCCATTACAAGAACTGAATTTAATGAGACTTACCTTGGCAATCAGATCACCAATATGTGGCAGAACACCTTTAGCAGCAAGGTAGAGTTTCCAGTGAGTAGGTTTGATCAGTTTCTGATAAAGACAAAGGAATTCTGTGGCACTCTCTCCAGCTGTGTGTAACTCATCGAGATACGCAGTCAACAGATCTAATACTTGCTGTCTACGATTTTGAACCTGGTAATGGCAATATCAGATGGCAATGTTATTACAGAAGGCATGGACTAAAAAACATGGAGTCAATACATTGCAGTCCCCAAGTTGATCATATTTTATTTTGTCACCATGTATGATAGGGTATTTAGTTCTTAAGGTAGAAGCCTACCCATAAATTGAAAAATCCAGAATTTATTAATTTTGTAATAAATTGTGCTCCAATATAAGCATATTGATCTAAAAAAAGTTGGGGGTCACCAGCCTTTTTTTCGAGAAATTGATGGTTGTATTTCGCCATTTTGACACTATTATAACGATTTTACCACAGGTTCCTATGACAGAGATATTATGCAATATCTCAAAATCTAGCCTGATGACATAGGCTGAAAAAATCATATATTGTTAATGATGGAGTACTTTTTGTTGTGTCAAAAAATACAGTTTTTCTTTAACATTGTGTTCTATGGAATTGATCTAAAAATAGCAATTTTCAAGGAATATTAGGACACTTTTCCCAAAAAGCATAACTGTAACACACAAAATAATGCTATTTCATTGTACCATGAGACATTAGCTTCATGATTGTACATAATAAACAAATGAACATCGTCATGTGATTTATCACAAATTTTGTCAAAAATTATGAGTAGGCTTCTATCTTAAGTGGGAAAAAAAAAACTTCATCAGCAGGGAATAAGGCAAGAGATTCACACATTGTTTCCTGTGACTGGTTATTTGAAAGTCTGAAGAAACAACATGATCTATCTAAACTTGCATTTCAGTTGTATGTATTTTGCCGTATTTTCAATTCAAAATGGCTTCCAATCACAAAGTCACTATTCCCATGGATACATGTTTGAGTACACCTTATTTCACTCTTTTATATATTATCAGGTAGATGGTATCTTTCACATTATTAGTTCAACACTCCCATTCTTAATTGTATCAATACTGGAACTATTGCTTGAACTAAAAAATTATATCTGGGTATGATCACAACTCAACTACCTTTTACTTGGGGACAGCAGAGAGAAATGATTTTGTTACTGATAATTGGTTTCCAAATAGCTTCAATACAGATACAGCGCCATCTACAGGTGATTCACCAGATAATAAAACATCACTTCCACAAGCTTATTTTAAGCTCAAATTAAAGATGTTTGGTGAATGACAACTTTTCAATTTTCCATAAAATGTATTACCAACCATTTAGAGCAATCTTGAACATCTGATCCCAGAAAATGCAGCAATCCTGTTTTCCTATGCAAATCAGGTAATAAATTGACATTATGAAAGTGAAAATTTACCTCGCAGAGTGCTTCCACAATATTACATGCAACTTGTCTGGCTGATCTTGAAGACGGTGAAAAGAGAACAGACTGCAACCAATTATCTCCACATATCTTGATGGGGTAGGCTGACGTGCGTCTCATTTTAGATTTCCATCGTCTTGCATATTTCTCCATCAGGAACTTGGCCCTTATTTCCTTCGCAGCCGCTTTCTTGGAAGATTCAGAAACTGTAATCAAATTTGAAGTAGTTTAAAAGAAGAACTATAATAGCATTCTCTCACCTGCTATATCAGTGGACATTCAATACACTTTATCATGCCAAGGAAGGTAAATAGCGCCCTCTAACAAACAGGCAATTCATTTGTCATTGTTGAACACTAGGGGGCACTATTCCCTCAAACTAAAGTTTTCATAATGCACAAACCTTTCTGTGGGGCACGTTTTTTCCATTCTTCATACGAAAATCCTTTCTTATTTCCTAACCATTTAGCTGCCCCAACATACACATCAGTTCTGGTGGGTTTTACACTGCTCAAACTTTCCACTGTCTTTTCCTATGAGCAAATAATAATCAGGAAGAGTTAATAAAAATTTATTAAAAGTACAATCTGCTGAACGAGTAAACAAAGTATTGTGTTTAAACTGTGTTTACAGAAGTGTCCAGTGTCCAGAAGTGTCCAGGTTTTATACAACCAAAATAGGAAGAAAAAAATTCCCCAAGCAGAGGATTGTTCACCCATCAACGAGAAATGTTGGCTAGACAGGTTAGGTTCATCCAATTGATGGACTAATGATGCTCACTGCAGTCTGTCTCAACTTATTACACATTTGCATGTACTTTGCTAAAACAAGACATCAAAGATTTCACAGTGACTGCAAAGTCTAAAGTCATTCAATTCTTGACCTCTGGGAACACACCTATCTCACATTCACGGACAATGAAGCATTACATAATCATTCACTTTATTTGCAGGCAGTGAAGTAAGGACTTAACATCAATGTCTTGGGAAAACTGTTTATCAAATCAGGCCAATGAAATCTCTACTCCACATCTATATCTACTCCAGTTTTCTCCAATAAAAGATATTTAGAGTAGTGGGCAATAAGCAATAACAACACCTCGATGTCAAACATAGTAATTACTTCTATCGTGTACTTTTTCATGGTAATTTGGCAATATTGTTTACCAACATTATGAAGTATTATACCCTGCTAATCTGTCATTTTGTTTAGGACAGGATTATCGTTGTTATCAAAGATTTATAAGATGAAGGTTTGCACATGGTGTGATATGTGATAAAGATCTAACACAAAATGAAGAAAAGTCACAGGAATTGCAAAATGATCACAAAGATGGTACAACAAACATTTCTAGAAATATGATCCAAATGAGTGAGACTGATTAGTTTCCATCTAACAGTTTTTGCTGGTGCCCTTGCTTATTCACTAAGCATTTATATGCATTTTGTGATTTTGAACACGTTGGCAATGTCACATTGTGTTGGAATGACACATATGCATGAATTAGAAGTATAATATTGTAAATCATACCTTGTGTTTTTTACTAGTCGGTGTCGCTGGTTTGACTTTATGTTGTAGTATCTTGAGACATGGTAATGTGACACTTTCCATTACCACAGGACTTGTCATCTTAACAGCCATCAGAAACAGCCGCATTACTGGAGCAAACAAACAACAGTCATTGGTCTAACAGCAATGGTTTGTTAAAGTCTCAATGATTGGTGAGAAGTAAAAGACTAAATG